GCGGTTGGAGGCGGGCCCGGAGGGTGGAGCACGATGGCTCGACGCTCTTCGTCTTTGGCTGGCCATGGTGGCAGGGGCGCTCCGGGGGGTTGGCAAAGGTGCCTCCAGGTCTTGCTGTTGCCAGGGGTGGCGATGGTGGCCTAGCCCCGGTTCAAGAAATGGCGAGGTGGCTGCGGCGTGCCCGACAGCCGCCGGTGGCTTCCCCCTGTCCTGTTCCGACCGGTTGGGTCCCATTCTTGCCCAAAGGGCGCGCCTTTCTGGCGGCAGCTTCGATGGTCCGTGTGGAAGGAGGTGGGGTGGTCTTGGATGCCAGGGCGGCGTCTCTGGTGGTGGAAGCCCGGTGCTCGTGGGCGGAGGCCGTGGCTCAGGTGTTGCCCGGTGGCCATGGTCGTGTGGGCGGCATGGTGGCCGGGGATGACGATCGGTGGTGGTGGTGCGGCTTCCGTACCTATGCCGAGGGCAGTGAGCGTGGGCCGGGGTGAAAACCCGCTGTCTTCGGGCAGGCCGGCGGCGGCGAGTTCGTCCCCTTCTTGAAGGCGTCACCACGGTCCTCATTGCCCGTCGTGTTCCTCCAGGGGAAACCCTGACCCTCGGTTCGAGCGGTGGCGGCACTCTGGTGTCGTAACCTTCCTGAAGGCGCCGCCTTGGAGCTCACGGTTCATCGTCTGCAGCTTCGTCTCCTCGCGGTGGCATGTTCACGGTGGAGGACCCTGGTAGCTCTTGTAGTGGCTGGGTGTGGTGTTGCTGCGCCTAGTGCCTATGTATCCAGCCTTGGGTGTTGTGCGTGAGTTGAGGTGGCGTGTGTTTGTATCAGATTGTGGTCGGTTGTTGCTTTATATATAAAGCGGGGCGAAAGCCTTTTTCGGTAAAGCAGAGAAACGCCGATGTCTTCAATGGTGAGAGGCCCAACATCACTTCGCTGCTCGACACCATCCAAGCGGAGGCAGATTCATGGGCTAGAGAAGGGGCGGGCGGCCTCCAGGAGACCAGGACTAACTACTGGCGGAGCTTAGTGTGTGCACGCGCGCAATTGTGCGTGGGTGTGTGTGTGCTCCCCCTCCTTATATACCACATAGATGAAGTTGTTATACCTCTGTCATTTTGGGTGTAATTCATTGATAATTACTCCCTTCGTACACTAATATAAGAGCGTTTAGATCACTACTTTAGTGATCTAAACACTCTTATATTAGTTTACAGAGGGAGTACTAGATACCCCAGAGTGAGTTCCATGAAAAGTTACATTTGAGACCACATATTTTATATTTTTTTACACGTAAACTGCATTTTTATACATAAAAACAGTATACTGCATAAATTAAGGGCTTCGACGATATTTTTTCGTGAAACTTGTATTGAGGTATATTCAGAATGATAAAGAGGTATAATACATTTGTTTAAGAGGTATATTTGAATGTGGGAGTACATACTCCCAGGAGTACATATATTTCTAACTTTCAATGCATTCAGACTCAAAGCTTGAAAGAAAGACAGCAAATCCATGATAAAGGGACTTCACCAAGTACCTAGTAGGATTTGATATCCAAACCAACAAAATTTACTAAAAATGCCTTATATTTCGGTAGAGGTAGTAGTAGTAAAGGTAAATCTTAAATCCACTGCTTTCTTGCAGTGGACAGGTTTAGTGATGTCTAACTAGAGAACTCAAACCATGTTAGTCAGATGAAGTACCTCTGGGGCAACATAGTTTGGGGTTCCACAGGTAGTACGTAGAAGGGCAGCTCCCTGCATGTGACCAACTAAGCAAGTCAAGAATCAAACTAAAATGAGTAATGCATTATGCATCTACAGAACTTCAGAAAGGTATACACCTGTGCAGGCCATGCACTGAGTCCAAAGTCTGAAATTTTAAGATTTCCTTGGGAATCAAGGAGAAGATTTTCAGGCTGCATACAACATGCAGAATAAGTCCAACAGGCCCACAAATTCTGAACTACAGAACACCTCATTTTTCACTTTCAATGACCACCTTTAGATCTCGATGGTAGACTCCTTTGCTGTGGCAAAAATCAACACCATCAATAAGCTGCTGAAAGTATTTACGTGCATCCGCTTCACTGAGTCTCCCATGACGAATCTGAAAATTGTTGTTTTATAGAGCTGTTAGGTTCCCATTCACATCAACAATCTTAGCAAATAGATGAAGTGAAGACACTAAGTGACCCGATTCAAATTTAAGTAACAGAAGTAACCATCATCATGAGCAGCATATAACCACATGCATTCTAGCAAATACCCAAAACGTGGACAACCTAGGGGGAAAATGTGTCGTCTTGCTAGTGTTTAATAATTCAAGGTATTTCACCCCTTTCTACACATACTTCTTACTTAAGCAAAATGCTCAGAAACAATAGAATGAAGTTTCAAAAATCATGTTTGTACATCCCAGAAGGACCGAGCCAGAGAAATCCAAGCAACACACCTAAGAGTTAGTTCAATTTTCATAGGTCGATTTGAAGTCAAGACTGACAAAGTGACAATGAGAAGTATCACTGAGAAGAGTGGGGTCTTACAATTTTGTCAAATAGTTCACCACCAGTGATGAACTCCAAGATTATAAATATCTTCTTTCGGCTCGCCAAAACCTGCACATAACAGAATAGCACGTAATGACCCTGCTGGTACTCAAAGAAATACAACGGAAAAAAAGATCAACAATTCAAACAGCTATCAGAAAGAAGCAGATATCGTACCTCATGTAATCTGACCACATTGGGATGCCTCACAAGCTTCATTATGGATATCTCTCTCTTGATCTGCATACAATAATCATGTGAGATTAAATCTCACCCTCATAAAATAAATGGTGCTCATTCAATTAACTTATGCAGCTAATACTGTTTTCCTCCTCATAATCACAAACTTAGGACCATTACAATAAAAAGGTGGGGAGAAATGTTTCCATGCACGTGGACACCAAAATATGAAAATAGATGAGCAAATCAAAAATGCATCGAAGTTTACCAGGAAAAGAGTTAAATGAAATGCCTCAAACCCTTGACAAATCGGGAAGGAACTCCTCAGCCAGAGAATATAAGGACCGGCTATGGTCAGATTGAACATCTCCTCCGTCCACCGCTTTCTAGCAAGGCAAACACCAACCAATTCGTAGAAACTACTGATTGCGGATTAAAAGTCAAAATAGATGTGCCCACGAGTCATTCACTCCAAGAGCATTTGGAAGGAACGACAGAGGCAGAGAGCACCAAATTGTTGGCCAACAAACCCAATCCAGACAAAACAGAACTCCCACGCCCAATTCTTCGTGAATTCCCATTCCCTCCAACCAAACTGGTGACTTTATATCTCATAACCCCTAAATTCCCATTCCCTAGCGTGTTTGGTAACTTTCGGGTTGGGACTGGGAATGGGAATTTAGAGGGGGGTGGGGGAGTTGTGATGAGATTAGACATGGGAAGTTTTATTTTATTCCTAGTCCCTTGTTTGGTATTGGATGAGTATTACACGTGGGAATTTAAGAGAGGTGTTTATTCCCTCGTTTGGTTAGGGGGAATTCATGGGGACTTAGCCGAGAGATGGCAATATAAGTTATGATGAAGGGACGGAATGTTCTGTGTAAATAAATTCTCACCCCCTCCCCTGTTAATAAAATCGAGGGAGTTGAACTCTAAACTTCAACACCCAATCCCTCCTAAACTCATATTCCCTCCAATCAAACGGGTGCCTTTATCTTACAGCATGTTTGGCAATATTTGGGAAGGGGAATGGGAGTTTAGAGTAGGGAGTTGTACTGAGACTAGACATGGGATGAGTCATTTTATTCCCAATCCTCTGTTTGGCACGTGATAGGAATTATGTACGAGAATTTGAGGAGAAACTGTATTCTCTTTTTTGGTTGAATTGACCAGGGACCAGACAAGGGAAGTTAATGTAAGTTATGATGAATGGTTAAGATTGACTTACTAAAACAATTCCCTTCCCACTTACCGAAATATGCTTTCGCCCCGCTTTATATATACTCCCTCCGTCCGCGAATAAGTGTACATCTAGCTTTTGCTCTAAGTCAAAGTTTTAAATTTTTGACCAACTTTATAGAAAATAGTAGTAACATATATGACATCAAATTGATATATTATGAAAGTACATTTCAAAACGAATCCAGTGATACTAATTTGGTGCCATAAATGCTTTTACTCTTTCCTAGAAAGGTGGTCAAAGTATTAAAACTTTGACTTAAGACAAAAGCTAGATGTACACTTATTCGCGGACGGAGGGAGTATATATATAAAATGTTTTGCTAAAGCAACCGCCGCAAGACAAACAACGTTCATAGAGGATACAAACTCACGCCTCCACCGTTAATAAAACGATGGGAGTTGGAGTCTCAAGTCTCATGACTATTCCCTTATGAATTCCCAATCCTCCCAACCAAACAAAAGATTTGAAGTCTCCTGCCCCTTCAATTGTCATTCCCTAGCTCTAATTACCCCCAAGAACCCCTAAATTCCGATTCCCACTTTCTAATTACCTCCAACCAAGAGATGGAATCTAATCGAAGCAGAAAACTGAAACCCTCCTCACCTGATCCACCATCTTGTGCTTGAGGATGGAGGAGCGATCGAGCACCTTCATGGCGACGCTCTCCCCTGTCTCCGTGTTCTGCGCGAACTTGACCTTGGCGAACGTCCCCTCCCCGATGGTCCGCCCCACCTCGTACTTGCCCACCCGCCGCAGCGCCCCTCCCCCTCCTCCCCCAACCATCTCTCCCTCTCCTCTCCCTCTCAGGTTGGTCTCGGTATTGGCCGGTGGGTGACTCGCGAGGAGTTCAAAAAGGTAGTTGCAGCTTTGGAGTCGTACTGCGGCTGCGGGGGCTCTCAAGTGCTCAGCTCGACAGCGCCATTCAATGAATTATTTAATGAGATTCGGCACCGCAGCAAGCGACCGTGTGTGCCGCCCGGTTTAAATGGGACGGGTAGGTATGTGTATGTAAGGTGCAATTGTGGCTGAAAAAAAAAACTCACAGACACCTTTTTGGATGGAGTTAGTTTAGGGTTGGTCATGAGGTAGAAACTAACTCTAACCTCTTGAGTATTCAAACAAGATTGCGTTGTTGTTGTTGATGCTACTGTTCTTCTACGTATATCTAGACATTATCAGAAAATTAAGGTAACATTCTTCCTTGTTGCTATGTAGTCTAGGATTGCATATTTAGACATTAAATACAATGCATGTTGCTATGTAGCCTCGGATATATTACATATTGCCCTAGTTAACCTAACGATAAATGGGTTACATATATATATTCAGTTAAAAGTCTGATTCACCGATTAGTCCCTTATCAGCCCCTGGCCTATATGGTACTAGCTACCGATATCCTAAACAATGAGTATATATAAGCCATGGGGTGAAACTAGTCTCAATGGAATTCAACAGTCGTTCACAAAATTGTCCTGTGTAGATACATCGAGAGGCATGTTAAGCATAACAGGCTAAACATCAACCAAAATTATCCATGGCAGACAAAATAATCTCCAAAAGATAGGTTCAGTGTGCAGATTTAAGCACGCTAGTAAAGCAAAACAAATGGAAAGATGTGTTAACTGCAACATGCCTAACAGTTAACAACAAGCAAACATAGTCATTCAAATTGGTATTGTGCCGGTCTAAGTACAATTGTTATTGTTAACTATAAATGAAAATGCGTGTTAACTACAAGATGCAGGAACCAAAATGTAGTCATTCATAATGATATTGTTGAAACTGGTATTGATGAAATTGAACTGCACAGTTCATATTTGCACATATAAAACATCACGTTGTGAATAACTGGAATAAACAAGGCATACTACGAACAACCAAAGATAGCATTTGAAACTGGACATATGCTAACTACAAACAACTGAACAGTCAAAAAACTTTAAAAGAGGCATATGCTAGCTATAACAGGCTTAACAGCAAGCAAATATATGCATTCATATCGGTATGTTTAAAACTGGATTGATAAAATGTACTGCACAGTAAATAATTGCACATATAGAGCATCACATTGTGAACAACTGAAAATAAACAAGGCATACTGCAAACAACCAAATATAGCAATTAAAACTAGACATATTCTTACTACACTACAAAAGGGAGTCGACAAAACAAATCATGGGTTCCCCCTGTGAAGAGGCATGGCAAAACAAATCATGGTTTTCCTCACTTGTCACGGATGGGCTCGTTCCCGTGGGAAGAGCATGGACCCTGGATGCACTCCATGTTGTCGCAGATGGGCTCCTTCCCCTTGGAAGAGCATGGCTGTAGGGTGCCCTCCCTGATGTCGCAGGCGGGCTATTTCTCGTTGGAAGAGCAGATGGGCTCTTTCCCCTTGGAAGAGTCGGAGAGGGTTCCCTCCTTGTGGTCGCCGTCGATGAGGTTTGACTTGGAAGCTGTGGATCCCAAGTCAGTGTCGTAGAACGTGTCCTTCAGAAATGACAAAAGGGGCTCGATGGCAATGTAGGATGGCAAATTCTTGATAGCGAGCCAGAGGAGATCAGCAGCGGGGCCATGGATGAGATCGACGATGGTTGAACCCGAAGGGTTGGGGGTGTGCCACTTAACCTGTGACATAGCCCGCCTCAGGTCGTCGCTATCGATGACCTTGATGTCGTAGTCGGCGTCTGCGACATGCCCGCATACTCCAGCCCGTTGATTGAGTGTCTGCGGTTAGTAATGGTCGTCAGCTTCCTCGGCGACGTCGGGCAAAGAGATCGTGATACACTTCTTTTGGGTCAGTCGCTTCTCGAGCTCCACGGGAAGCGTGGCCGGGTTTAGGCTGCGACGCTCTGGAGTGGGGGTTGGGGATAGGGATCTATGGGAAAGGGGGCGTTTGGCAGGCGTCATCTAAGAAACTCATGGCGGCCTGGGTATGAAGATCGGTGGGTAAGCTGCATGGGCAAACTGGTAGATGTTGACAATGGAGGCCTTGCGGCGGCGGCGACCTTGCTAGGGTTTCGAGCGAGGGAGGGTGTGTGTGCGTGTGCGCGCGTGTGCCCGAGGAGGATTTTGGTGTGTGTGTGTGTGTGTGGAGGGGGGCGGGGTGTGTTTGAGAAAATGACGCGGCTACTGAAAATTTTACTACGCGGGAGTGAAATGCCGGGGCTATTGAAAATTCGAATGATGGTGCATCGCACATGGTCTGGAGATAACAACCATGTGTTATGAAATAGAAAAACCCTCGATGCGGGCAGATATTTTCGAGGGATGCAGGTGGGATTGGGAATAAGAAACATCACACACGGTCGAAACATAATAACCGTGTGTTATCAAACAGAAAAAAGTTGCAGACGGGTAGATATTTTTGAGAGGGGAAGCCTCGTGGAGCCCAATGTATTGTGTGGATGTGCGTGACAAGGGCACCGGCGTGGCACACGGTTAGTGTGAGTGAACCGTGTCTGTTGTGTCATCCAACTTGTCTAATGTTCATAAATTTGGCAAAAAATGATGCGAGAGAGGGTCAGAACACAAACACACTTGTATGTGGACCAAATTTATGTATGAAAAGGATGGTTTGATGTTCAAATACCAAATGCAACTTCGATGTGGCACTTATCTCGCAAAGCGCACGGTATTGCTTGCCCTCTCGTGTCGGCACGAAGGGAATTCTAAGCTATGAATGCATGCCCCCAACCAAGGTTCACCTAGCAAAGTGCGAAGTAGCAGCCCGCCCCTCCTCCCCCCCCCCCACACACACACCCACCCACTTTCAGTCGGCGGGCCAGATACACATCTCACCAAGATGGATCGTAAAACGGACCAAGAATAATCCACCTTAGTCGTACAACATCTCTCTTGTTGTTGGTCAAAGTGATGGTCGTCCATGCGACCCCGGAGATGGGCTAGCTCACCAATAATCACGCAAGTAGCTAGTCCCCGAAGACAACTGTCGGTGTCAAAACCGGCGGATCTCGGGTAGGGGGTCCCGAACTGTGCGTCTAGGGTCGATGGTAACAGGAGACGGGGGACACGATGTTTACTCAGGTTTGGGCCCTCTTGATGGAGGTAATACCCTACTTCTTGCTTGATTGGTCTTGATGAATATGAGGATTACAAGAGTTGATCTACCACGAGATCGTAATGGCTAAACCCTAGATGTCTAGCCTGTATGATTATAATTGCCTCTACAGACTAAACCCTCCGGTTTATATAGACACCGAAGGGGCCTAGGGTTGTATAGGGTCGGTTTACAAAGGAAGGAATCTACATATCTGAATGCCAAGCTTGCCATCCACGCAAGGGAGAGTCCCATCCGGATATAGGAAGAAGTCTTCTGTCTTGTATCTTCATATCCCATTAGTCCGGCCCATGTTACATAATCCGAACGTCCGTGGACCCCTTAATCCAGGACTCCCTCAGTAGCCTCTGAACCAGGCTTCAATGACGATGTGTCTGGCACGCAGATTTTTTTTCGGCATTGCAAGGCGGGTTCCTCCTCCGAATACTCCAAAGCAGCCTTCGAACACAGAAAATGCATCCGGCTCTGCAAAACAAGTACCGCACACACACGCAGAGAATATGATATTTCACGAGTCCAATCTACTGACAACTTTTGTAGCGTGACATCACGTCGTTGCCTGATCATTATTTCAAACCGTTTTTTAGCCTCCCGCTCCATGTTTCAAGATGCGGTTTTATTGGCACGTCTTGTCGAAGCAGAGATTGTGTCCCCTTATTGCGGGATTCTCATCAATACGGGCGTGGGTAACCCAACCGCGCCGTCTGCATGGCCCTTAGGGAATAGGCGGGTTTTAAGGCGAGTGGGGAGGTGCTTGATATTCGCAGCCTTTATAAAGGGATAAGGATTTCACCTTTTCACCCACGCCTTCTTTCTCTCTGCCCATCCATTCTCGAGCTCCAACGCCCAAGCTTCCATCCTTTCCACCTCAAAAAAGCACTTCAGCCATGTCCGGATCTGGAGCACAGGGCAAGTGGATGGTTTCTGTAACGCCCTCGATGCGGCTATATCTCCCACGTGTCGAAGCACGACTTAGAGGCATGACCGCATTGAAAGCAATGTCGCAAGTGAGGTAATCTTCACAACAACCCATGTAAATAAATAAAGGGAAAGGTACATGGTTGGCTTACACTCGCCATGTCACACAAATACATAAATAAGTCATTACATTCATCCAATACACTCAAGGTCCGACTACGGAACCAAAATAAAGATCAACCCCCAAATGCGACAAAGTCCCCGATCGCCCCAACTGGGCACCACTACTGATCATCTGGGAAAGACACGTAGTAACGACGAGAGTCTTCATCGAACTCCCACTTGAGCTCGGTCATATCATCTGAAGTGGTATCATCGGTCCCTACATCTGGTTTTGGAAGTAATCTGTGAGTCACGGGGACTCAACAATCTCACACCCTTGCGATCAAGACTATTTAAGCTTATAGGTAAGGGAAAGGTATGATGTGGAGTCGCAGCAAGCGACTAGCATATATGGTGGCTAACATACGCAAATGAGAGTGAGAAGAGAAGGCAAAAGCACGGTCGAACAACTATGATCAAGAAGTGATCCTAGAACAACGTACGTCAAGCATTACTCCAACACCTTGTTCACTTCCCGGACTCCGCCGAGAAGAGACCATCATGGTTACACACGCGGTTGATGCATTTTAATTAAGTTAAGTTCAAGTCTTCTACAACCGGACATTAACAAATTCCCATCTACCCATAACTGCGGGCATGACTTTCGAAAGTTCAAATCCCTGCA